GATGTAACTAAATGTTACATAATACTTCCTTGAGATAAATGTATACGGTAGTATATATCAGGGGCCTAAAAGAGAGCTCAGGTTCTCAACTGGCTCAGCCATGTTAATATTGTTATTATTATCCACTATGTATCTGTGTTTTTCTGGCTAAATAAACTGTTTCAATTCAATCCAGTTTCAATTCAATGTACAGTGGTGTTTCCATAAATACAGTTCTTGTCTTAATAATAATAATTAATTATTAACGGTTTCTTAAAAGAGCATGGCAGTCGGAAGGCTGAAAATATACAAATACATAATTGAGGAATGGGTCTCTTGATTTACAGATGATATACAAGTAACATAAGTGATACAAATATGATATATAATAATTAGGTGTTGATAATTTTTACAATGGTTGAGACTGGGCTGTTCTTATAGCAATCAGTTCGTGCTCGTATGGCCTGGACGCGGTTGGGCAGGTGTGTGGCCGTGTGGCCATGTGGCCAGAACAGTAGCTTGGGGCAATGCAGGTGTGCTTCATCCTTCAGGTTAGGTCAGGTGAAGCCGTGAGGTCAGGTCAGGTTAGGTCAGATCCACCCACACTCAGTATTTCTGTGTTTTTGTGCTTTTCCTTCGAGTTGAAATTGCCACTTTTGTATATCACTCGTGGGTTGATCGTCAATCTTTGCACTGTGCTGTTGGTGTGAGGATGTCCAGATGGGAAGGAGGAGATGGGGCAGGGGAGGGCCCGACAGACCGGGCTGGCAGCTGTCTCCATGGTCAAGAGACCACGGCCACGTTAGTGGGCAGCACCGACTGCACACGTCCTTACCCTATGAAGTCTTGTGTCTATCCGTGTGAAATGCATAGCTTAGACTCTCACTTTCCCGAGTACAAGGTGGAAAATTCCACACAGCGCCATTCACGAGGCACCTGACACACCCGTATCATATAGATTTAACTAAACTTTTAACTTTTAATTAATTATTCAGGATTCTTTAAGTAAAAAAAATGGCAGACTTTGGTATCAACATTTCTTACATTTTTCCTGGTACAATATAAAAATCACATCTCTAACACAATTAGAACAGATAGTGCAAATAAAATTTGTTACATTCTTTTGCTCGGGTATAAGTGGTGGAGTGAGGTAGGGAGGAAAGGGAGCAGCTCTAGGGGGTGGGGAGAAATTGACCGTGTGGAACCCTCCCCCCACACACACACACACAAAGGTTCACCTCTCACCCATGCATATCACCAACTCCTAGCTCTCTCACTCATTGTACTGTAACTCATTCATGATATAATATTGTTTATTTGTTATTCACTAATTCGTAAAGTTACATTACTGTAATAATCTGTGCTTATTAGAACTGTACCCTTCATAAAATATACAATAATGTATATATCTCATAGGTACAAAATAACGTCATCAGGAATGCATCTCCGTTTATGTAATGGTACCAAATTAATTTTTCTAATGCAATTAGAGCAGATGTGAATACAATTTTATACACTTTTTTGCTACCAAAAATATATTTGCTACTTAGCTTTTGTCCTTATTCAAGACATCTTCAGGTCTCGAGACCCACTAATACCCCGCCCTGACAATGGGAGACCAGACACTGCATAAGACCATCAATCCCCGAGCTGATATTGATTAAGTTAGGTCAGTAACATGAGACCCACTAATCCCTACCACACCTCCATCACATTTCTTAAATATTTTCATAAAAGATTTGAGTCCCCATTATTATAATCAAGTTTTTGTGACTGTGAAGTGAGCATTCCCATTTTAAAAATGTCTGTCAAGCATTTTGCTCACCATCTTTAAAGCCATGACAAAGGCTACACCTCCAGTCCCCACTATTCAGACTCCCCAAAGTCTGTGTGGTACTCAGGTTGATTTCTCCACTCCACTTTAAAAGTCTTATTAGCTTTGAGGGGGACATGTAATGATGACCAGGCTTAATAATGTGGTGAGTTTTGTTTGTGTTGTAGTGCTAGTAGTATTCTAAGATTAATTTTTATGGTGATTCATATGGGTTGTCTGGTTGGCCAGGAATAGGGTGTGACCGTTGCCCTCCAAAAATAAAAAAAATGGTCCTACAATGCTGTTCAAAGTTTTAGTGTTGTGTATTTATCTAGGAAACACCCCTGTAAATTTTCTTGGAGATCGGTGCATGTTTGAGCGAGCACGTCGGCTTTACAAAATAACAAGGAATATTATTATCTAATGAACAAATTTAGTGGAATTTCTTTTATTAGACTTATAAGATATACTAACACCAAGCAAATGATTGATCATATCAATCTTAATACCCCTAAAACAATATTATAGATTAGTACAAAATACAATAATCCCAATAATTGCATTTCTAGGTTCAAGACCCATTTCTCTCAACTGGCGTACAATGAAAAAAAGAAATACTACTACCCCGCAATGCCTGGAGTGTTTGAGGAGCGCCAGCAGGAGATGGCTGACTTCTTCCGTGAATCTCTAGCCCAACCATTTACACGTGGTGAGTACAAGGAGCTGGTAGAGCTTTGTCTGCTGCTTGGACATAAAGGATCCGAGCCAGTGAACTTCACGATGGTCTACCCCAACGCACTTCACAAAGTAAGGTGGATGGCTAAACTGCTCTATACCCTCAAGATTGTTCTTTTGTCAGGTCAGATCAAAGAGCAGTTTCCCAAAGCCGAGGTTGTGACTGAAAGTCAAATCAGCAAGTTAGAACGGTTTGCTGAGCTCACAGTCGCTGTTTATGTCCCATGGTGGATTGTTTGCCCCGTTCCAGCAAGTGCGCCACTGAATGACTTAAATTTGGTCGAAACCTTGGCTGAATTTGCCCCATATGACGCCACAATAGTTGACAAAGCACGTGTGGCACTCGGTAGACACACTTGGTACCTAACTGAGGAGTTGGCCCCACTGGCTTTGTTCTCGTCCCAAGTACAAGAAAGGACAAAAGAGGAGATGAGGAAGGCCCTTCTTTGCCATGAAGGCACTGAAGTTACTAAGAGAGTGGGGCTCAATCATGGGGGCTATGGAAAGCCATATCTTCCCCCTGTCCCAGAAAGTGGCACTGCCCTGGTGGACCTAATTGGGCCTGACTCAAGCCGGTTCTTCACCATTTTAGGCATGCCCTATCAGTTTCTCCACAGTCCAGCCAATGAATGGGCAGATCATGACGACTACCTGAACATGAAACGGGTTGTGGACAAGCTTCAGGTCGTCAATGAGGCTGCAGAGCATGGTGTAAAACTTTGCCAAGACTTTCTTAATGTTGCCAGGGATGAGGAGCGCTTTCAAGAAGTCCTTCAAGTAATTGGAAATGACAGACTCTGTGTTCCTAATCAGCGCAAACGATCATCTGTTTCCGAACAGAAATCATGGTTTCTTGCTCTAGAGAAATAATACCTTGTGAATATATGATAAAACCCCTTAATGTACCATGAGAGAATAAGAATTATTAACTTTTTTGTGTTAGTGATAACAGCTTTTAATTAAGACAGGCAAATGATTTGTGTTAATATCCCTTATGATGGTTGTGTAATCTCATATATAGGCGCGTATGCCGTATAAGCAAAATCGCTATTTTTCAAATTGCTGGTGTTCACTCAAATATGCATGAATCTTCAAAAAATTGCACGTGGGTATTTTTTATGTCAATATGCAACACCAAAATTTTGAACAGCATTGCAGGACAAAGTTGGGGCAACTGTCACACCCTAGCCAGGCACCTATCCTATTGAATCATATGATGTAATGAACCTGGTTTACGATACTGTATGTAATGATTGTTTATCAGACCACAGCTTACAGCTCAGAGAAATACGACACATGTAACAGCTAGTAGATAAGCAGGGGTCCATAATTTGACACACCCTACAGTCCCAGGAGAGGTCCAGACCTGACCCAAGGGAGGTCAAGTTCACAAGGGAACCAGAATCCTCACCGCTACCCGATCAGCTCAACCCGGCGTCATGACCTTGTTAATTCAAGGAACTGCTAATCAGCCAGCACCCGTCACCCGACCCAACAACCCGGTCAAGAGACACCCAGTTTAGTAGGAGAGGTCCAGACCTGACCCAAGGGAGGTCAAGTTCACAAGGGAACCAGCATCCTCACCGCCACCCGATAAGCTCAACCCGGCGTCATGACCTTGTTAATTTAAGGAACTGCTAATCAGCCAGCACCCGTCACCCGACCCAAAAATCCGGTCAAGAGACACCCAGTTCAGTAGGAGAGATCATCTGCCGGCTCTTCCTCCAATATATAGGGCCTGTAGCTCTCCTCACAGCAAAGAGTCTTGTAACCGAGAAGGGCCAGCAACAACGTCCCCAGTCCCGCTCATCAAAGAAGTCCGCCACTAAGGGCAAAGAGGTGTCAGCCGGGTCCATTGACAGAGTGCCGTCGACTCAACGTGTAAAAGTAAGTGCCGACTGTGTAGACGGTAGAAGTGCGGTGATCCCAAACCTCCCCAACAATCGACTTGGTGAAGTGCCCATTCTATTTGAGAGATTATATGAGAATATCATAGTCTATCATACACTATGTACGAATCCCCCATTAATCCCCCCTATTGAACTAGTAAAATAAAGCTGTAACATGCATTGGTGTTTTATATACTACACTTGTACTGAGCCTGTGTTAATATACAGTATTATCTTCAAACCCTCGAGTCACGCTACCTACTTCCCTCACTATACGACTCTACTACTATAAACTCCTACCTTACCTCTTCATATGAGTTTTTGTCTCATTATATGTATTTTGACCTGCGATGGGGTTTTCCGGAACCTGTCCCATTGCAAATGAAGGTCTACCTATATTATTACTGGATCTTCATATGCTTCAAAGTGTAATAAATGCCACTAACTATAGGTAAATGGAGAACACTTTAAATAAGTGACTTGTATGAAAGATTAAAGGGATGTGCAAAAATAAAATTTTTAAAGGAATTCTTAGTAATAAACTGGAACTGATGTCAACAAAAACAAAAGATCAATAAACTAACTGTTGGAGTCATCCCCTCAGATGTCTGTATTACAGAATGGAGAAGATGGTTAATGTCTGGCAGAAGACCAAGAGGAGCTGTTGCCTTTAAGTTATGCAGATAGTACACCCCACCAAGAGACACAAACTGTCTCTTTGATGATTCATTCTGAAAAGATATGAAAATATAATTTTAAATGATTTAATATATATTCACTTATACATAACTGAGTCTGGAATGAGAAACACTATAAAGGCAACTTTGTTTTTGTTTTTTTTATGGGGAAAAGCCCACCTGGGAACAGGTCATTGATCAACAATGGGGCTTGAGAGAGAGAGAGAGACTACGATAACTTACACTACGAAGATGCGGGAAAACCAGCTTTTTGAAGTGAAACATTGTAAGAGAAAGGAAACACACAGGAAGGCAGAGCATTCCAGAGCTTGACTGTGTGAGGAAAGAAGGATGTACAGGGGGTCCCTGGGTTATGAACGGGTTCAGTTCCTGAGGACATTCTTAAGTCGGATCTGTGCTCAAGTCGAAACATTTGCTATGTACTATTACCAGCAAAAGTCCTCCCACAAACTTGCTACACAGGGCTGTGGGAGAACTTTTGCTGGTAACTGTACATACAGTACCATACTTACAAAACACTGTTTAAAATCCAACTATATCATAGCCTAAGACCTTATATACATCTAAAATCACTTAATTTAAGAAAAAATAAATAAAATGACAAAATACAATAAATGAGTGTAAAAAATAAGTCTTTATTTAAATAAAATACAGTAAATTTCAAATTTAACCAAACACTGCACATACACACAAAAGCCCGCTAAAAAAAAAAAATAATAATAATTAGTTTTCCAAAGGTCCGGATTCTCGGGTGGTCCGGATTTTTGGCATCCGGATTTTTGGACTTTTACTGTAATATCTCAGAATAAAGTTAGGAGAATATAATTTGCAAGACAGCAAATAATTTGAATATAAACGTCATATATTTTGCACAAGAGATAAAATTAATCACCTGCATCACATTACAGAGTCGACTTAAAACGGACTAATAGGGAGGAAAGGGTGTCCGTTTTAGCCGATTGTCCAAATTAACCGACTTAGGGGTTAATATTGCATTATACAGCTATGTGTATGTTTATTTGAGTGCCCCGTCATAGGAGTCCGTTTTCTCTCACTTCAGGACGCCTGAGTCGTCCGTTTTCTCTTAATCTTAAGAGTACACCAGGGACTTTGTTATTTCTTAGTAGTGACACAGAATTTGAAATTGCAACCCCAATTGCAACTGGGACAATCCCAGAACCAGAAATTTGATATGGACAGTTCAGATTTCATCCGATTTATCCGAAATCCGGATTAAAGGGGTCCGAATTAACAAGGGTCGACTGTAGTGATTTAAGAGTTCTAGTGTATATGTACTGTACATATATACAGTAATACCCCGCTTTACACGGTTCTGGTTTACGCGTTTCTACATTTACCCGGTACCCAGCCAGAACCAGAATTCCCACTTTACTCGGTGCATCTACGCATATACGCATCTACTCATATACGCGGGTGAAGTATAATTTTTTATTTAACGCATAAAATTCATACAAATTACCCGGCCAGAATATAATTTACATTGTTGGAATTCTTACAATATGATGATCATTTTGAATGTAAACCATCATGGATTTTGCATTAGACATTCAAATGTTAGATCTAATGCAAGAATTTTGTTTACAAAGAGCAAATATGTTATCTTTTGTGCAAAATATATAACGTGTATATTCAAAATATTCCTGGTCTTGCAAGGAATCCAGCAATGTCAATTATATTACCCTAACTTTAGTCTGAGGTATTATTTATTACTATACCTTAAAATCTGGTGTTTTCACCCAATTATTTCTCAGAGAGGGAGGAGCCAGCAAGCGTGGGAAGAGGAGAGGGTGGGGAAGATGAGTCCATTATTTGAATGGACATTAACCTGGCGACTGTATTTCTCTTAAATATTAATTGTGTGTGCATACCATCATAAAATTAAGATGTTATTTTTACTACAACATAGGTATTGTGTCGGTATAGTGTCCGAAAAAGTGGAGTTTGAGAGTTGGCCCAGTCTCTATTTCAATTAATCCCATATGTTCTGTTATTCCATTTACGCGTTTCTCGTTTTACGTGGACCTACGCGGGTTCAATTGACAGCGTAAATCGGGGTATTACTGTATACTGTATATAGTATAGTGATTTAAGGGCGATTTAGGGGAATTTTAGGAGTGTTTCTGACTTTATGCGTTTTGGGCTTTACTTTGTATACACTTTTCTGTGAGCTGGAACCAATTACCCAATATCCCATTGAAACAATGGTTTCGGTTAACGAAATTTTCGGTTAATGAATGACCCTCTGGAACGAATTGAGTTCGTTAACCGAGGGACCACTGAAGTGTGAAGTAAATTGTTGATATAAAGAAGGAAGAGAGTAGGTGAAAAAACAGAACCCTGAGGGACACCATTATTGGAAGAGAAAGATCGAGAGATCGATCCCTCGACAACAACTGCCATGGGTTGGTTCTCAAGGAAGCTAGAAATAAGAGAACAAAGTGGAAGAAAGAAACCATAAGAGGGAAGTTTAGAAAGCAAAGACCTGTGCCATACTCTTGTCCAATGCTTTAGAGATGTCGAGGGCCACGACAAAAGTTTCCCCATAATCCGTAAGAGAGGATGACCAAGGATGAGTGCAGTAGGAGAGCAGATCACCAGTAGATCTTGCCTGGCGAAAGCCAAACTGGCGATCCGACAAAAGATAAATGCATTCAAAGTGATGGAGAAAATGAGAGTCTTAGATAGTTTCGAAAATCTTAGATTGGGAGGAAGTTGGGGCAATGGGGCCGATAGTTAAGAAGGATTAAAATGTTCACCCTTCTTCGCGATGTGCTGAAATGAGGCATGCTTCCAAGAAAAATGAAAAGTTTGGGTTTTGAGGCAAAGGCAAAAGAGACAAGCAATCCCAGTGGCCAAAACTTCAGCACACTCCCTCGGAACATGAGGGGGTATTCCGTCTGGTCCATGCACCTTAATCACATCCAGACTGGATAACACACCAGCAACCCTATGATTGGCGATTATGGGAAAGTGCATAGATTCTGTAGGAGAAGCAGGAGTAGGAGGGGTAGAGTTGGAATCCTCCAAGGTAGAGCTAGAAGAAAATAAGGTGCCAAAGAGATTATTTTTATCAAAGGAAGAGTTGGCAAAAGAGTTATCAGGTCGGAAATGACGAGAGAAAAAAGGGAGTGTAGAAGTTAATACAGATGTTTTAGGTTAAGGACCAGAAGGATTTACCAGAAGAAAAGTTAATCAGGTTAGTGACCTTTCCTTTTATAAAATTTCACTTGTCCCTCTAAAGAATAGTGAAGAATAGCCTTAAAAAGATTCCTAGAAGTAATGATAGAAGAGTGAGTAACAGGAGAAGGAGACATTTTCATAATTTTATATGTCCTATTTCTCTCCCTACATGCAAGAGAACAGGAGCAATCAAACCATGAGTATAAAGTGAAAGTTTTGGTAGAAGATGGGATAAATGCACTTTTACAATCCAATATAATCCCAGCAATGCTGTCAGCCCATACCAAGGAGTCCTGAAAAAGTTGGAGAAGAATTATCACAAGGATTGCCAGTGTGCCCTTCGATAGTGCCAAAGGAGGAGGAGGAGGAGAGGGAATAGTAGTGGTGTTGGTGAATTATATTAGGGGTTTACTGTAATTAGCTTTAATACAGGATATTTGCCAACTATGTTGCCTTGAATACAGAATATTTGCCAACTATGTTGCCTTGAATACAGAATATTTGCCAACTATGTTGCATTGAATACAGAATATTTGCCAACTATGTTGCCTTGAATACAGGATATTTGCCAACTATGTTGCCTTGAATACAGGATGTTTGCCAACTATGTTGCCTTGAATACAGAATATTTGCCAACTATGTTGCCTTGAATACAGATATTTGCCAACTATGTTGCCTTGAATACAGAATATTTGCCAACTATGTTGCCTTGAATACAGGATATTTGCCAACTATGTTGCCTTGAATACAGGAATACTATGTTGCCTTGAATACAGAATATTTGCCAACTATGTTGCCTTGAATACAGGATATTTGCCAACTATGTTGCCTTGAATACAGGATGTTTGCCAACTATGTTGCCTTGAATACAGAATATTTGCCAACTATGTTGCCTTGAATGCAGGATATTTGCCAACTATGTTGCCTTGAATACAGGATATTTGCCAACTATGTTGCCTTGAATACAGAATATTTGCCAACTATGTTGCCTTGAATACAGGATATTTGCCAACTATGTTGCCTTGAATACAGAATATTTGCCAACTATGTTGCCTTGAATACAGAATATTTGCCAACTATGTTGCCTTGAATACAGAATATTTGCCAACTATGTTGCCTTGAATACAGAATATTTGCCAACTATGTTGCCTTGAATACAGAATATTTGCCAACTATGTTGCCTTGAATACAGAATATTTGCCAACTATGTTGCCTTGAATACAGAATATTTGCCAACTGTTGCCTTGAATACAGAATATTTGCCAACTATGTTGCCTTGAATACAGGATATTTGCCAACTATGTTGCCTTGAATACAGGATATTTGCCAACTGTTGCCTTTGAGAAAGCACAATATCCTGTTTACTTCTCCTAGTCCGTCATAGTTAAAAAATATATATACCGTACACAGCTACAACAATGAAAGATCATTAGAGAAATCTACAAATTTCTTAAGTTATATGTACATACAGTGGTCCCTCGGTTAACGAGCACCTCGGTTAACGAGATTTCGGTTAACGAGTTACCTCCCATAAGATTCTTAAATTCGGTTAATGAGCAACCCCTCGGTTAACAAGTTTCTTACGAGCCGATCTCAACACGTTTTGGCTTGCACTGGGCGGTCAACCAGCTGTAGTATTAGTCCGCCAATACATTAATCGGTTCTAGGGCTTAAATTCCTTATTATTTTAGTAAATATCAAGAAGTTTATACTATTCAATAATTTTAAAAGTTTAATATTCAATTTTTTAGTCATTTTAACAATTATTGAACATAATTGAAGGTAAAGTGACTAGTTTAATGCACGGCATCCAGCCTCTTAACACAGCAAACAGGCGTTAGTCTCTCTCTGTTTTCACTGGAGGTAACATCTTGCTTGAGACTCTCTTCAACTAAATGCTTTTTTTCTGTGTTTCCAAGCAAATTATTGGTCATTTGGAAATTTATTTTACATATTGACAATATATAGCGCAGTGCAGTGTTATTTTAAAGAAAATATTCTTTATTTACAACAAGTTTAACTTTAAAAAGCACGTGTTGACATTGTTTGAATCCAGCATGGGGCCTAAGAGATCAAGAAAAGCGATTTCAATCCAAACCAAGCAGGAAATCATAAAAAAACATGAACAAGGCAATAGAACAAATGCGCTATGCAAAGAATATGGCATGTCGACATCAACTGTGTCGACAATTCTTGCACAGAAAGACAAATTTAAAGAAGTGAAAGTGAGAGACAAATCTACAAGAGTGTTTAAAAGTATATCCCTAGATGTAGAAACTGCGAGGTTACTTATCATCTGGATTAGGGAAAAAAGGATGAAAGGTAATTCAGTTTCTACTGAATTCATTTGCGAAAAAGCCAGGGAGATTTACGAACATTTAAAGACAGATCAACCTGGTTCTTCAGGCACAGAATTTGAAGATTTTAGGGCCAGCAAAGGCTGGATCGAAAAATTTAAGAAAAGAAGTGACATTTTCAGTGTTGTTAGGCATGGTGAAGCTGCTAGTGCTGATAAGGAAGGGGCAGCAAAGTTTTTAGATGAATTTAAAAAACTGATGGAAGAAGAAAATTATCTTCCACAGCAAGTGTTCAATGTGGACGAAACTGGGCTGTTCTGGAAAAAGATGCCCAAAAGAACATTCATCACCAGAGATGAAGTCTCTTTACCTGGGCATAAACCCATGAAAGACCGTCTCACTCTATTGCTTGGTGCCAATGCTTCAGGGGATTTCTGACTGAAGCCTATGCTTGTCTACCACTCTGAAAAGCCCAGGGTGTTCAAGCAACAGAAAGTGGTAAGAACAAAGCTTGGAGTTTATTGGAAGTCCAACCATAAGGCATGGGTGACAAGACAGCTCTTTAATGAATGGGCTGTTGAGGTGTTTTGCCCTTCTGTCAAGAGCTACCTAACCACCAATAAACTCCCTTTAAAGGCTCTTCTCCTCATGGATAATGCTCCTGGTCATGACCCTAACCTTGCCAGAAATTTGGAGTATCAATTTGACTTTGTGAAAGTGTTGTTTTTGCCTCCAAACACTACATCAATCATACAGCCAATGGACCAGAATGTGATCAGCAACTTCAAGAAGTTGTACATGAAGAAAATGTTTAGGAGGTGTCATCAGGCAATTTCCAGTGATCCTGAACTAACACTGAAACATTTCTGGAAGACACAATTCAACATCCTGGAGGCTGTAAAATTGATTGTGTCATCATGGCAAGAAGTCTCCACTAGATCGCTCAATTCTTCATGGAAAGCACTGTGGCCATCAGTAGTCCATGATTTTGAGGGATTTGAGGAAGAAACAGAGTTGGACCAGGAGATTGTGTCCATTGGTCAGTCATGGGCCTTGAAGTGGAGGAGGAGGATGTGGAAGAGCTTGTGATGTCTCATGAGGAGGAACTTACTCCTGATGACTTGAAGCAACTGGATGAGATGTTACAGGTAGAGGCTGACAGTGGTGAGGAGGAAATTGAAAGTGATGACCATATGTCAACTAAACAGTTGAAAGATGTGATTTACCACTGGGAGAAGTCCAGGGAACTGGCTTCAAAGCACCCAGAAGTGGAAAAAACTGAACTAACTTTGTGTCATGTTGAGGACTCAGTGGTCTCCTTCTTTAAACATAAGTTAATGGTGAGGAGGACAGATGCCCCACAGACCACAATTGACACTTTCTTCAGTAAAAGGCAGAGGGAACAAGATGCTATCCCTCAGCCTTCCACTTCAAGGAGGAGAGAGGATGTTCATGGTGGAGAATCTGTCAGTCCAGAGGTTCCTGACATTTTCATGGAAGGTGACTCACCTTCCAAGAAGCAGTAAAATGCTTCTCCTCCACCTCCACTTCCTTCTCTTCTCCCTTCTACTCCTCCACCTCCCACTTCAAATTCACATCATCATCATCATCCAGGAGCCTTCTACATACACACCTCAAAGTAAGTGAACTTTTCTACCTTTTTTGTTGAATTTAGGCAATTTTCAGTGAGCTGGAACCAATTACCCAAAAACCCATTGAAACAATGGTTTCGGTTAACGAGATTTTCGGTTAACGAGCAACCTGCTGGAACGGATTGTGCTCGTTAACCGAGGGACCACTGTATAAGTGTTCTGACTGTTACCGCAAGCAATAATGAGTAGGATGACACATAAACAAACATTATGTTAGGCTGTAAGTCATGTCATGTTTATTGGGTGTGCCTGCCTATATACAGTATATAGAGTATTGAGATGGTGGAAGATGAGAGACCCAGAGTAGGTTGGAGTGTGTAAGGGGAGCTTGTTTGTGTATAAACACCTGACTCAGCGTCGCCGACCAGCGAGGGCTGGGCAGGCGACGCAGGGTACTGGCACTGTAGTTTTCCTGATCATAGAGGCAACACCTAACCTGGTTTCTTTTGAGACTTTCAACACGTAAGTTTAACTGGTACTTATTGTGTACACAGGTAGACTGTGTCCATTGCATCGTTTATCATTGTGACAACATAAAATACGGCAAATTAAGTACTCATTGTAAGTGTTAAGATTAGACTAATTACATAGCTATGATTGTTATGTAAATATATGTTGGATTAAACATTTATGTATGATTGCCTATGTATGATTTATTTGAAATACTAAAATGAATTGTATTCAACAGGTTTGACCGAATTATAACGTTCAAGTTTAACGTGAAGAGTCTGATTTACCTTTAAACGCTCAGAAAGCATTTACACTGACCTTAAAGAGGAAGAAAAGTAAATTCAAGGCTTGAGGTCTTAAGGTGTGAGGTCCTAAGTCCAATAACTGCAGCAGGTTTGGGATGAGGTTTGGGTGTTGGTTCAGCCTGCTCAAAGGCACAAGATTCAATTCCACTTTTTGAAGAAGCGAGCTCAGTGCACGGGCACGAATTTCCAAAATTGGGTGCACTGAAAAAAAAGTGATTACTGTACTTATAAAATCTTGATGTAAAACAACACCAGGATTAACATTCCTGATAAAACAATACGTACTGCAAACAGCACAGGATCTATATTTGCCTCAGGATAAGTTTACATAAAATCAAATTAGACAAAAATATGATTAGCCATGTTGAGTTATATTCTACAAAAGCCTGATTGGATATACACTAAAGCCCTTCAATTCCAGATTTTGTCTTAAAGTGCAATCCATGAAGGATTCTGGATCAGCCCCTTGTGGTGGTGAGCCCAGACTGCCCTCCCATAAGATTATACAGTAGGTATACCACTGTTATACAATACAGTACAGTACTGACTGTCAGCAATTAAATGCCAGGTAGCGTCGTGTTCTCCTAATATTACGTATTTAAGTAATTATTAGATGTTTTAATTGCCTGTATGTTGGCCCGGCAAGTTAATGCTAGGCATTTACATACCTAGGTAAAAAGATAGACGTCGCATTCTGGACTATATCACAAAAACTTTTTTTTAGAGAAAAACAGCTTTTTTGCAATTTTTTTTATTTGCAGTTTCGACTATTCTTAGATTTTCATCAGAAATATGTTTTCATTGCAACTGATTTCATATGTAGTTGAATTGCGCGCACGAACAAGTTTCCGCAAAAAACTGCCAGGTGCCACTACCACACAGCACAGATTCCCGCTTCTCTTCTGTCTCACTAGCGTCCCCTGCCACACTTTGTACAATATACATTTTTGCTGTTAACCACGTACTTTGTGCTCGTAAAATCCTATCACGGCTCCATAACATCCTTCTAAAGGGCAAGTAATGCACCAAAGAAGCCTAAAAGAAAACGAAAAGTGTTGAATTTAGTCAAGAAAGTAAAAATAATAAGAAACTTGAGAATGGAATGATCTATGCGGTATGCGCTAAGGCAAAAGAGATGAACAAATCAACAGTTCGCTACATAAAAAATCGGGAGAAGACAGCACTGATGCAGTTACTGCTAGTGTGCCCGCAGCAGCAAAGGTGACACAACATGCGAGATTTTCAGCACATTTGTTCATTATCATCAGCATCATTATTATTTATCATCATCTACCAGGAGGTGAGTTGGGAGGGAAGACCAAGAGAACAGAACAACATAACTGGGCTGGTGAGTACCGTATTCCATATGAATTGAAGATTTTTTGGTACATAATATATAAATCAATTTTTATTTTTATTTGCATCTTTATTATGTTGTCTTTACATGTTATTTAATATGTGAGAGGGATAGAGATTTAGAGATCATTAGAAACATGTTTAGGGTCATACAAGTGATAAGGGATAGGTTAAAGTTATAATAATGAATACAGTCGGCCCTTCACATACGCGGGTTTAGCATTCACGGATTGACAAATACGCGGATTGCCCCGCCGGAGGAATATTCTGTACATTGAAGTAATTGAAGTACAGTGGGGTATGCTATAACGAACGGATCCTACTATGAATATTCCTATAACGAACGGTTTTACCTATAAAATTGAGAATGCTATAACGAACGCAACTCCTACAACGAACGCAACTCCTACAACGAACGCGGATGAATACGGGACTATTTCGCCTGGCGCATGAATATTGTTGTACCGCGACCCACATCAAGAGTGTCAGGCGCCATCTTTGTCTCATTGTGTAGCCAGTGCACCACTGTTATTGTTGAAATTTCGTCTTTTGATGTGGAAATTCGCGTTATTTGTATAACTATTTTGTTATACAAGTATAAAATTGTAACAATGAGTCGTCCAAAGCGAGTGAGAAAGCTAATAACCCTTGAAACTAGGAAAGAAATTATAAAGAAACGTGAGAATGGAAGAAGCATTGCGAAACTTAGTGATGAGTATGGGATGGCTAAATCGACTATATGTACGATTTTGAAGAATAAAGAGGAGTTAAAAACTGTGCAAGTGGCTAAAGGAATCTTTAGACTTAGCAAAGCAAAGTGTAATGTGATTGAAGAGATGGAAAATTTACTCTTAGTGTGGATAAAGGAGAAAGAAATGGCAGGTGGTAACATTAGTGAAGCTATAATTTGTGAGAAGGCCAGACAATTGTTTGAGGACCTTAAAGCCAAGACTCCCAGTGGAAGTGATAGTGATGTGCCAGTGTTTAGGGGTATCTGCATGCTGAATAACACTAAGGTAAGATAAAGTACGGTATTTTTTACATTTTCCACAGAATTTTTTTCAGTGTTAAGTGGTTGTATTTCGGGGCCTGGAACGGATTAATCCTATAACGAACGAATGCTATAACGAACGAGGTTCTGGAACCAATTACGTTCGTTATAGCATACCCCACTGTACATTCAAATCGCGCGCCATTCAACTCGCGCACGGCACCGAACACAGGACACCGCCCACTCCCGCAACCTCACACACACACGCATAGCTCTCCCTCACTCAGTCAGTCTCGCTGTAACCACGCTTGTGTTGACATCAGCATTGTAGTTGCAAAAATATTACATTTCCATGAATGTATTATATCAAGCACAGTATGAATAGAATATCACTAATATAAGAGAATTTTAACCAAAAACTACTAAAAAAACGAGTAACATATCTTGAACATCGGAAGGCTAGGTAAAGTCTCTTGTTTTCATGTAGTTTATCCTAATTTACATTGAAATGCATTACGTTTCAGCAAAACTACTATTTATTTCTGAGAATATGGAAATGTAATATTTTGCTGAAATGACGTAAGTATTACAGTGGAAAGTGACGAAAGCAATGACTCGCTATCTTTCGTTCAAAAGATGTTACCGTAATCGCTTTTCGAATGGTTTTCAGTTAAAAAACTGTTGTATTACAATAATATTCTATCCTAATTTACTTGTGATGCAACAGTTTATTTAAATGAAGACCATTCGAAAAGCGATTACGGTAACATCTTTTGAACGAAAGAAAGCGAAAGTCATTGTTTTCGTCACTTTCCACTGTAATACGTACGTCATTTCACATGAAGTGGCATAAGGGGCGTGGCTTAGCGATCTTGAGAGTAGAGTTGCCAATTAGTGAATTCCTATGGGCCTGCATGAGACTACCTGTTATCTACCTACCTTGGTCTGACCCTCCTCAGCCAGTGCTCCTTACCTCCGTCTTCGCTTCTTAAGCGTCTACAGCACATGTACGGGGGGTGATGTGGATGTTTCTTATTGGCTATAGCGATAGGAGACTTATTATTGGGCAAGAGTTTTTTGTCTTACCCGATGAACAATGCGTGGGTGCGTCGGGAGCGGAGATTTGAATTTTCGGTACTAGATGTGACTGAATAGGTGAAAGAGCTGTGTCGACATTGTGATAAAGATTATTTTACGCCAACTACCGAGTTTCATTAGAAAAAGAGTGAGGCAATTACTTTTTCTTTTAGAAAACACAGTGTATTACCGAACAACGTTCTTTGTCCAACCTGATTCTTCCTCAGATTAAGGTAAGATGTGGGGGCTTGAACAAAGGGGGGTCTGGGGGCTCCGCCCCGGTTAGGTTAGGTGGTAATTGTTTACTTCTATCACTAGAAGTTGTTTGTTTATTTTCTTTATTTTTGCTCTACTCGTTGTTTTGATGATTTTAAGTATACAGTTGTACCCCACTTAACGCGGTCAATTGAACCCAGAGGGTCCCGCGTTATGTGAAACCGCGTTAAGTGAATAACAGAACATATGGGATTAATTCCAATAGAACCCAGCCCGACCCCCAAACTCCACTTTTTGACGACAAATAACTATGTTGTAGTAAAAATTCTATCTTAACTTTATGGTGGCATGAAAAACAAGTAATATAAAAGAGGTTAGGTTAGGAAAGATAAAGGTTAACATAGGAAAAATAAAGAATAGGTTAAAAAACGAAAATTTTTAAGGAACACTCACGGTAGTAGAAGAGATGGGTCGGCATACGGGGATGGAGGCTGGTTCCGAGGCAGAGGGCAGATTACTGCCCCTCAGGTGAATCACCATTACTAGGTGAATCACCATTACTAGGTGAATCAATATCACTGTCACTTACAGTTGTTATGGCTTCCCTGACAAATCCCTCAAAATCAACTTCACTATCACTATCACTGGCTTGGGCTGGCTGTGGTGGGTTGCGGGCGAAGAACTCGGTTATGCTTTGCTGACGGCTGGCTTTGATGTTTTCATGATACACCGTGATGTACGGCTCCATAGCCTGCACCAGTCGGGTATGGAAGACGTCATGGCGTTCATCGTCAGTGTCGCGGGAAACGATGGACTTAATTTTTTCTGTTAACTCTATGACACACTTAATATCACTATGACTTAAACTAGGTTCTTCGGAGAATGACGCACCTTCTTCCTCCTCTTCACTAACGTGATCTTCTTCCAACATCTCGTCGGCAGTCACTTCAGGATCTCTGATCACCTCCAGGATGTCTTCGTTGGTGGTCTCGGAGAAGCCTTCAACTGTAATATTGAGCGCAGCTTCTCTGGCAAGGTCCACTGCTACTGCAACAGTCTGAACCTGACCAGTCACAGGTTCACTCCTCCTCTCACCTGGTATGCCATGCAACACATGTCTCCATGCGTGACGAATCGTAGCAATAGACAGCAGATCCCATGCCTCCACCAAGAAGTCTACAGCTTGTTTGACGTTAAACTTCTTCCAAAATTGTTTGACGAGAAGTTCTTGAGTCGCCGCCTCTTGTTCCTTGTCCTCGTCGCTTTTACTCTCGCTGTCGGTGTCACCCAGCTTACGCAACTCATCCTTGGTGTTGGTAGAGTCGTTCAGGAGCTTGAATTTCTTTGCCGAGTATGCAGCTTTAACATTGCAGATTAACTCCTGGTCCATGGGCTGGATTAATGACGTAGTGTTGGGAGGAAGGAAGACCACTTTTACGTTGGGGTGACGATCCATAAGTAGGGGCGAGTGTCCAGGTGCGTTGTCAAGGAGCAACAAAATATTGAAAGGAACATTCTGTTGCTCGCAGAATTTCTGCACGTCAGGAACAAAAAAGTTGTCAAACCAGAAGAGGGACAGAGAAGAGGACATCCACGCCTTACGTGCGGTTAGCCAGTGGACATTAAGCTTGTTCATGTCCATATTCTTGTAGGCGTGCGGCTTGCGGGCTTTGTGAATCACCGATAACTTTGGTTTACAGGTACCGGAGGCATTGGTGGTAAACAGGACGGTGATGCGTTCCTTCTGCATCTTCCGGCCCCTTACCTTGCTCGCAGACTGGACAACGAAGGTCTTGGAAGGTAACTTTTTCCAGAAAAGACCAGATTCGTCCATGTTAAACACCTGGTCGTCACTGTACTGTCCTTCCTCCATAATCTCACGTAAAAACGGAGGAAAATCTCTAGCCGCCGCACGGTCAGCACTCGCTTCCTCACCAACAATGCTGATGTTGGTGATCTTGTTCCTCCTCTTAAACCTATGCAGCCAACCATGGGAAGCATTGAAGGGTTTGGGCTCTGCAATTCCCAGTTTACGTGTCACTGCTGCGTATAGCTCACGTGCGTACTCCTGCACTGAGCGCGTGTCCACCGCCATGTTGCGTCGCGCCTGACGCACCAAATAACTCACCAGCAAAGTTTCCACTTTTGCCAGCACCCTGTTCTGGCAATACCTGATAGATGAAGCACCTGCAGACTTTGTGATCTTCATGTGCTCCTTTATCTTGGCTGCATCCTTCTTTATTGTACGAATCGTAGATTCGTTGACGCCATGCTGGCGCGCGAGATCAACTTGGCGTCTTCCTTTCTCCAAATCTTGAACAATTTGGTACTTCAGCTCGTAGCTTAATGAACGTCGTGTCTTCTTTGGTTTAGTGCCGCTGGGTCCAGGTAAGGAAAGGTTTCTCTCTGGGGGTGGTGGTCCGGCGGAAGCCATTTTACGGAACAATGGATGCGCGTTAACCCGGCGTGGCCTTGAGGGATGAAACTGCCGCGGCTAGGTCAAGCGTCGTCTCTCCTCCCTCCCTCCCTCCCCGGGGTAGTCACGTCATAATACTTTAAGCCAATTACAGCTAGCAGCAGAGGGGGGTAGGGCTGCATGGCCAATCACAGTCCGAGACGTCATATGACGTCAGTGATAACGCAACAAAGACACACACTGCGCAACCTTACCGCGCCGCTTACCCAAGCGGAGGGAGGAGGAGGGAGAGGCAGGCAGGCAGGAGGGCGGGTGGGTGGCGCGTGGTCAAAATCTAAAAATAGCATCCGAGCCGGACACTCACCGCGTTGCTGTGGAAAAACCCGCGTTAAGTGAAAGTTCAGCTTTGGCAAGGCACCGCGTATATGATAAAACGCGTTAAGTGAAAGCGCGTTAAGCGGGGTAATACTGTATTAAAAGAAACGACAACTTTCCATTGTACTTTTTGTAATTTTTAGGATTTTTTTCAATTACTCTATCCTACAATCTTAAATTCCTTGTTAGTGAGCAGGACATAAACGATGAGAGAAATTACAGGGTAAAAACATGGCAAACACTGATGTTATGACATTAAAACTACGTCTCTAGGTGCACTTCAAACGCCAAAATCATTTTCTTACCGTAAGTTAGTCTGACTTCACCTAATTCCCTACCGCCGCCATTCCTTCCTCTCCAATTGTATAAACTGTGTTCCATTATTCCTGATTCTTTTAATAAAATAATCACGCATCTTTATTAAGTTTAGAATTACGTTTAAACCACTTTTTTATTCTTTTGTTTATTTATTATGTGGATTCTCTTTTTTATATCATCTACAGTTTGAACATCACGCGATGATTACGTGTTAGAGTGCCTCGTTTACATCATGTTTGACCTGCGTTGTTGTGATTATTCTTATCGAGAATTATCAGGCCTGATTCTTGATGATATTCGTTTGCTAGCTCTTATTTGTAACCATGGTTTAATTAAGAACACTTGTAAATGTTCCAAATGCAATACTGTATAACAACCTCAATATTAAGCTAAGTTGTTTAAGATTTTTTCGTTCGTGACAATTGTTAGGTAGGGTTTCCTAGGTTCTTTGGCTTATTGCGATTTTGTTTAATTTTTTGTACACACTATTAGCTTAATATTAAACACATATTGCACATGATAATGCATAGAACCTAACCTAATAGGATGGGTTTGATAGGTCAGGTTCTAGTAGGTTCTATGCATTGTCGTTTCCATATCTGTGTTTAATAACATGTAAATAATGTGTACCAAAAATTTAATCCAATTCACACATTTCCTTCTGGTGATAGCAGTTTCGTAAGCCTTTACCAGTTAGGTTTAGGTTAGGTTACGTTAGGTTAGGTTTTATTGGTTGGTATTTTATTTCTGTGATTTACTCGGCAAAAAATTCAATAAAATTCCGACTTTATCCCTAAATATTGTTGAGTGGGGGGTTATCTCAAAAACTAGTGATATCCGATGGAAATTAATAACAAATTCGTCCGAAACTCATCAAATATCATAGGAAAAACATATTTCTAATATAAAAAATGAAGGTCAGATTCATTTAAAACACACCAAAATACACTAGGAAAACATATTGGTCAACACCAAGGGACTCGTGTCCTAGAGTAAAAGTTTACGATAATAACTTACAATTTGTCACTAATACCAGCAACTGTTAGTGGTGACGAAACGGATTTGATATTGGTAAGGAAATGGGGTTTTGGTGACGAAATGGATTGGTAACGAAATGGGGGTGCATCCTTTTCCATGTATTTTGAACACATTTTACCTTGAATTTTATAGCAAATCTCTTGATTCTGAGATGGAAGGGGAGGGACGAATCTCAGAAATTATTGACTAGTGCCAGGAAAGGTCTAATTCGTTCATAACACATCAAAACCATAGGAAAAACTTTCAACTTACATTTCGTAGAGTGGCAACAAGTGAAATTTTACCCCTTTAAAGTTTAGTTTAGGTTAGGTTGAAATTATGCTTTTCCGATGGTTTTTCATAATTTTACCCACTATCATATAATTACATGTATGCTTTCTCCCTCTAGTGCGGTGTCCTGCAGGTTCATTGTCTTGCAGTTTGTCGTTAGATAGCTAATATACTCACTTTGACTTGCTATCAGTTATGGAAGGTTATTTTTTTTTACTACGACTACTACACAGATCTCTCATTTAAAACATAAATTACTGCCTATTACTATTCTACACAACGCCACAATATACTTGGAACTTACCTAATTTATCAATGTACTCTGCTTCCTCTGTCATGTTGAGAAATGGCAAAACCAAGACCTTCAAAACTACATTATATTAAAGACATTCAAAACACTCGCTGGATTCAAACGTCGTCCGCCCCGCTCGGCCAGACACAAGCATCCCGACAGCTCCCGACAGGCCCGCAGCTGATCCCTGGAGTCCGGATTTATTTATTCTTGGCTAATGTTATTTTATTGTATTTTATACTATAATGCTTTTTTATAATTACATACTTAGAGTTGAAAAAAATACCGGATTTTGTTGCTTAAATAAAAATAGTGTTACACTGGCAAAATTTAATATTTATTTGTTTTAACAGCCAGGGATGGAACTTGAGCAATTACTTTTTACTTTTATCCTCATTTTTTTCTTTTTTTTCTTTTTTTCTTTTTATATTGGGCACTCCCCTACATCCTTGTGTAAGGTGAAGCGCAGAAGCGTTTACAGTGCCCAACAGGGAAGCATGCTAAGTTCATGCTTGCCTTTATGTCTCATGAGTTAAGGGCGTAGAAGCCTGAAGAGTCAAGGGCATAGAAGCCTGGAGAGTTTTATCCTCTTCACCACAGATCGGCTACAGTGAGACAATATGGAGCCCCCCCGGAGGGTGGCTTCCTACCGTGGCCGAGCGAAAGATCAGCCCGGAGGGCGGCGATTCCGCTAGTATCTATATAAAACAAAGAAATATGTCTGTGTGTTTGTGTGTCCGCAAGAGAATCTCGGAAACTACTTTACCGATCTGTATTGATGATGGATGGTGTTATATGTAGTGATGATGGATGGTGTTATATGTAGTGATGATGGATGATGTTATATGTAGTGATGATGGATGTTGTTATATGTAGTGATGATGGATGGTGTTATATGTAGTGATGATGGGTGGTGTTATATGTAGTGATGATGGGTGGTGTTACATGTAGTGATGATGGATGGTGTTATATGTAGTGATGATGGATGGTGATATATGTAGTGATGATGGATGATGTTATATGAAGTGAAGATGGGTGGTGTTATATGTAGTGATGATTAGACGATAAAATAATAACAGTTTAATGCTAAAAAATATACTTTGCTGTACCGTTGTATTGAAAAACATGGTGGAACTTACATACACCGTTAATGAACTATTGGTGGAAGAAGAAGTGATGATGGATGATGTTATATATAGAATATGAAAAGTATCCCTCTGTTGTCATTGGCAACATGGATAAGAAATGTGAATACTGCGGTGCAAAGAAGTACAAAGGAGAATCTGCTGGACTGTGCTGCTCTCATGGGAAAGTACGATTGCCAAATTTGGAAAAACCACCACAACCATTGAAGACGCTCATGCTGGGAACAACAGTCAAAACACTTCTTGGAAAATATACGGAAGTACATTTCATGCCTTCAGATGACATCCTTTGGAACTACCAGAGTAATTCGTGAGCATGGATACATGCCCACATTCAAAGGGTATCATCTTGGATGAGAAAATGTAAATCACTCAACAGAAAATTTCTGAAGACGGTATATATCCACGTGTACTTAGAAAAAAATATAACTTTAACAACAACAAAAAATCATTTTCTATTAAAAAAGTTTACACTGATCTCGGACATGGATTCGGTCCTTTTCGCTGCCACTTATGAAACTTTAAAATTTCTGTTACATCACAGTCCGAGTAACAGAACAGATTATCTCAACTGTTAATCAACTTCAGTGTGACTGGAAACAGTAGACCAGGGGTTCTCAACCGGGGGGGAATTTCCCCCCCTCAGGTTTCAGGGGGGGGAAAACTGATACTAATATGGAAAAAATAAAGGATTTTCAGTATTATATGCATATATTTGGAATGCACTTTTTGAGGCAGACAATCTTGGAAAGGAGGGGGAATGACATTCTGACATATGGTGAAAGGGGTTTATGGGGCAAACAAGGTTGAGAACCACTGCAGTAGACTGTAGACTGGTCGCCATAGACTGGTCCTAGACTGAGTCCTCTGTAATGATATCTTTTTTTTAACAGTATATAACATCACTGTTTTTTTGTGTTTTTTTTTTGTCACACTGACACTGGTTATTGTTACGGGTCCATAGATCCGCTGTCTGTAACTTCGTCTATTATAAAAAGATGTCTTATATGCACTTTCAAAAAAGGGGTTTCCCGTAAATTATCTTAATGCAGCTATTGAGAGTTTAAATGAGGACGGCAAGCTTTTCTGTGAAGCTTGTTTATCAATACGTCTGTTTCTCGTGAGGATTGAGTGAAGACTTGAGTCGAGACTTCTCGAGTGAGGTTGGAAATATATCCGACGTCCTCATTCGAGGGAAAATGGAACCATCCACGATGGCTTTCAATAACGTTTTCCTCTACTGTAGTCAGGGTTATCAAACTACTGCCCGCAATAGGTAGCCAGAGAGCCGGCTACTTAATGCTTAACTCAGCACCAAGTGACGTGACTTCCCGTGGGCACACCTTATCACGTGCTCTAAATATGCTACCTCATAGCTAGTGGAAAGTTACAGGGGGTAATATTTATACAAGTCAAATGTAATTAATTCATTTATATAATAAATACTTCTGCCTGTAAGAGAGGGGCTAATACACATATAACAGGTCCTTGACCACCGAAGGGTCAAGACGTACCTGGCGCTCCTCTCGGAGCAGCCAGGTCAACTGTTATGTTGGCCCATACCAACTCCCTCCCCTGAACCCTCCTCCCCACCGGAATATCAACAAGTTCACGCCAGAAGTTACTATTTCATTTAGGAAAGAAATGGAACCAGTGTTAAACAGAGGTGAACAGTGGTGAACAGTGCTTAAGTCAGTGAGAACAACTCAACAGTAACAGTGGTACCCAAGTTGACCTTTCACACAGTGAGGTCCCAGGTACCCAGTGATAACGGCCCGTGAGACCCAACTACCAGCGATGTGTTAATCCGTCTACGATAGGAAGGCCTGGAACCACACCTCACTCATATAACACCATCTGTGAGGGAATTACTACACCACGTGAGGCCCCTCATAACACCATATGTGAAGGAGTTACTACACCACGTGAGGCCCCTCATAACACCATCTGTGAGGGAATTACTACACCACGTGAGGCCCCTCATAACACCATCTGTGAGGGAATTACTACACCACGTGAGGCCCCTCATAACACCATCTGTGAGGGAATTAACGTGAGGCCCCTCATAACACCATCTGTGAGGGAATTACTACACCACCACGTGAGGCTACACCTCATAACACATCTGTGAGGGAATTACTACACCACGTGAGGTCCCTCATAACACCATCTGTGAGGGAACTACTACACCACGTGAGTCCCTCCTAACACCATCTGGGAGGGAGTTACTACACTACGTTTTGCTGTTCAACACCTACATTAATCTGTATGTTCACTGTATGTTCCTTTACCTTTCTCTAATGAAGGCTTTTGTTAAACCACCAATGTATGTAATAAGTCATTTATGCCCAATGTATATTTTCAGCCTTCGGGCTGCAGAACTTTTTCAATAAACCGTTAATTATTATTATTATTATTATTATATTGTAGTGGACGTCTCCCCTACAACTGCTTATCGCATTCCAATGTGCCGCCTCCCCTAGCAACGAAGGGAGAGCTGTCCCCAGATGTTACCGTATCTTAGCAACGGAACTAGTCACCGGCTACTTCTCGGGTTTTCCCACCATGACTCATAGCGGCTGCTGCGGGGTATATAAGCTCTGTCTCTCCATTGAGATTCAGTCTGACCAATCTTCTTGAACAAGCAACACCTCCTCCTCTGCCGCTGCCTGGCGACCCTCGCCTCTCCTCCGCCTGCCTGGCGGTCCTCGCTCCCGCCAGCGAGCATGTCCTTCTCTGAGCTTCCTCACCAACCAACTCTCATTCTGCCCATTTTCCTGAACAAGCAACATCTCCTCCAGCAAGCTCCACGCTGTTAACATTTCATTCAACCAGGAGGCCAGCAACAGGCAACATCTTCTCTAACGAAGCTCCTGCACATCTACCTCCTTCAACAAGCTACTCACCGCACGTCTCTACCAAGCAGCCCCTCACCACACAGCACCTCCAGCACCAGACTGTCTATCATATAACTTATATATTATACAAGAAAACCACATTAGAGTTTCCTTCCATCCTGAGTGCTAGACTACATTAATCTCTCGATACCCCTACAATGGTGACTCCCGGAGATTAGCACTCACACAGGATGGAGGAGACACTGATCACGCTCCCAGTCTTCAAGCAGACACCGGCTCCTCTTCCTGCCTCACGCACCACATTCTGACGACCCCAGCACACCCGTCCTGCCTCAGACGCCAACCCCGGCCCAGCAGTACCTGCCGTGAGGGAAGCACACAACATCCATCGCCTCCACACCCCTCTTTTCTCCCTCAGGTACTCCCTGCTAATGTCCTGCACCCTGCTGCTGTCGTGGACCCAGCTGCTGTCACGAGCCCTAACCCGCTTCTGCTGACCCAGCCCCTGCTCCTGATCCAGGCCCACACACACCCCAGCAGGCGCATCTGACGACCCTGTACCTGTCGTGAGGGAAGCACAACATCCATCGCCTCCACACACCCCTTTTCTCCCTTCTCCCACAGATAGTGTGTATCTAGACAGTTGTATTTCAGCGATCGGCTCATCACGCCATCGCCGTTGTCTCACATGAGGCATGCACCGCCCGGTCTGCCTCACATGTGCTAAGCAACTCTACAATCAACAAGTCTCCTACACCGCCTGGAGGGGAGGGGGAGTATTGTAGTGAACGTCTCCCCTACAACTGCGTATCGCATTCCAATGTGCCGCCTCCCCTAGCAACCAAGGGAGAGCTGTCCCCAGATGTTACCGTATCTTAGCAACGGAACTAGTCACCGGCTACTTCTCGGGTTTTCCCACCATGACTCATAGCGGCTGCTGCGGGGTATATAAGCTCTGTCTCTCCATTGAGATTCAGTCTGACCAATCTTCTTGAACAAGCAACACCTCCTCCTCTGCCGCTGCCTGGCGACCCTCGCCTCTCCTCCACCTGCCTGGCGGTCCTCGCTCCCGCCAGCGAGCATGTCCTTCTCTGAGCTTCCTCACCAACCAACTCTCATTCTGCCCATTTTCCTGAACAAGCAACATCTCCTCCAGCAAGCTCCACGC